AACAGCTTCAGGGATGCAGTTGGAAAGCGAAATAGTTTGTTGAGGTCAGACTGCAGGACAGTTTCCTTTAAAGAAATTTCAAAGAAACTACCTGATCTTGACCTGCATTCTTCACTCAGATTTCATCTTTAATAAAGATTAGAAATATTGCCAGGGACTAATCATCAAGTCAATAGTAAATTAGAGAGCTACTTGCTAGATAAATATGAGAGCCCAGAAATAATCTATACTTTAAGATTAGATATCTCTCTTATAGGCAATCCTGTATTTTTTGTATTTACATTACGAAATGTATTTAATACTTGCAAAAAATTGCTTGACATTTTTACCATTACTTTCCATACAGTTCTGTTGATTTAAGGTATTGGACTGCTAAAAAAAAGGAATCCAAAAATCAACAGCCTCTGCACTTTTTTTTTTTCTGTCATTCAAGTCTGCAATTGAAAAAGTGATGCACCCTTTGTATTTTGTTCTCCTAGCACTAGTGTGGTAGCCCAGAGTCTTTCTGCAGCTACAGTCATTCAGAAACTGCTGCAAAGCTGTAATGGGGGGCTGAATTTGACCTGCAGTGTGTATTTACTCTTTCCCGTCAAGAAATTGTTAACACTGTAGTGAAACATTGGTTTTCCCTTTCCAAATACCCCCTTGTTATCCTTGAAATATTAATATTTTCCCTACTAGAAGATGTTATTTTTATTAGATTTTTGTTTGTATCCCCAGCTTTTGCACATCAGTGACTCATCCTGGCTTTGAACGAATTGAGAGTCCCACTAGACTTTGGAAAGGAGGCTGAAGGCAATATTTTCTTTCTCTACTTAAGAAGGACTGAAGGAGAAAGGCCCTCTCATGCTAGAGCTTTCACTGCTCAAAAAGTCCCAAAAATGTGTTCACTGCTCGTCTTCCCAAGGGTTTCAATAACCTAAAGCTGTACCATCTGGAAACAAAGCCAGTTTTTCCTTCTCAGTCATTATAGGGACAGGTAGTGAGGCTTTGAAAGGATAAAGCACTGTCCACAGGGATGGGGGAAATAGAAACTGTTATTAATCTGCATTAAATGGTATTAAAATTATTTCAGGAAGATGACAAGGGGATATTAATGGAACATGGGGCTTTATTGTACTCTAGTTCTCACTTCCTATGCATAAAACATTATCTCACAACTTATACATCCATACCTGTGGGAAATGTATAGGAAATGGCAGTTGTGAAATGTGATTGATAGGTGTTAGTGAAGTTTTATTGTTAAGTAATAATTACTCATGTAGAACATATCTAGGGAGTAGCTTCTGAGGGTTTTCCCCCATATTATCAATTACTGGCTGTTCCTTTAGCTAATACTTTATACGTACATTTTGGAAAAAGAAATAATACATAAGGCAAGTAAAATACTCAGTACTAGGAAGATGTATAGGTTTTCCTGACACTAATTTTTTAAAAGAAAACCAGCATGAACTAGGACTATTTGCATGCTGAAGTCAATTTCAGTTCCTCTGTGTGTAACATCAAACTGACCTTTCTGCTTTCTTCATTTACATTATGCAGGCTGTTTGCAAATGCAGACAGTAAAACTGAGCTCACAGTGTGTCTTTGTTAGTTGTCATGACTATATGCTGACCTGTGGAAATCACTACAATTATCTTAAAAGACAAGTAACTATAAAAAGTTAGAATACTGTAGGCAAAAGCCATAGAGCCACTTATTGTTAAGATTCTTCATTTCCTGTATATTCCTTTGGTTTCCATTGTTTTTAACTTAGCCTTAAACTTATGAGACTAAAATCTTTCGTGTCATATTTACTTGAGAATGAGTATCCTGGAAATTGCATGACTTATTTTTTGAGCACAAGAGTGGGAAAAACACAAAAAAATGAAACATAGCAGGAATAAATAGAGAGCTTACAAAAACAGGAAAAAGGACTGAGCGGCAAAGAATGCTGTGTCTTTGTAGCCAGGATATGAATGCTAGGTAGAGATAACTGTCAAGGATAAAACTGCATTAGACCTTGCCAAGGAAATTAAAACAAATAGCAGACTCTTCACCCCCATAAATAAAAATTAAAAAAAGGGAAGAGGTGAGACCACTGTGACCAGTTTACACTCTCTCATTCAGCCTTCTTCTTTCCTTTTTTTCCTTATTTTTAAACATTTATCTGCATTAACTAGATCTTTTCCAGTGCAACTTGGTCATTGCAACTGCAGAGCCTACTATGTGTGTCATTCTTCTGCTGGGGAGCCCTTGCTCTCTGCTACACCAGTTTCACAGAGTGAACAAGCCTCAAAGGGCAGCTGTAGCCAGCCTACACCTTTCTCCACTGTGGATGCAGGCAGAGTTTGACAGCAAGAGGAGACACGGCAAAGACTCATGTAGCCACTGCACCAGTGACAGCACCAGTGTTTATAATCCTGAGTGGCAGATGGTTTCTCCCCAGTGCCTGGATCTGCCTCTCACTGTGACAATGGCTGGTGCATGCCATGGGTCACCAATTGCATCTTCCATCTTGTGTGAAATCTTCTGCCTTATAAGCAAGAAAATAAAAAAAATTGGGCAAGGCAGCATCTTCTATCATAGGAAGAGTGTAATTGGAGGTATGATTAATGGCAGAAGGCACACAAATAAAGACTACGGTAGCCCGATCCCCTAATGTTAGTTTAGAGGTGTGACCAAAGTCAAAAAAAGGATAGCAAGGGTTCCTAAACAAACTAACCTGTTCCTCAAGTCTCAAAGATTTGGTCTTGATGATGGTTGAAAATCAAAGTCTTCAGCCTTCCTGGGTAAATGGTTATAATATTTTTATTCTTGCAGTGACAGGCACCTCAGTAAGATACAGACAATCCTTAAGGAAAGAAATGTATATTTAAATAAAATTTTCATTGCAGCAACTATAAGTCATTTTATCTCTCTTGTAGGAATAATACTTGCTTAGTGTATGTTAGTTAAGATTCTCCTCAGGTGGATAGACAAGAATGAAAGGAAGAGCAGTAACAAAAATGTCACATTGCCGTGTCTGTTCGTTGTGTAATGGAGTTACGGAGACTTCATATTCACATCCTTATTTGTCTCAGTGATTAATAACTAATAATCAAATTATGTGGAGATGACAATCAGCTGATGGAATAATTCCTTAATCTTAGAACAATCTTCCATTCTTCGTGTTTTAAATTTGTACTCTTCCTTTTTTTATCCCATTCCTTTTGAACAGTGCTGGTGTGATTGTTCATATTATATTTGTTTATATAGTACACTTCTTTCAGAAGGGATTTTGTATACAATAGAGTCATTCATTCACATACGTACTAATGTAAGCAAACAGTATAAAGCCTCAGTATAACAAACTAACAATCAGTATAAATTGCATTCACAGAAACTTAGACAGGACTTTCATGGGTCAGTGACAGGCACAGGAATGCAGGACCAGCCTAAGCCACAAGCAGTCCAAGTAATACATGCTGTCCTTTACACATGGTGTTTCTGGCTCCCCACCCCTGCAATTGGTGTGGATGGGTTGCACCGTGGAAATCACCTAGGTTTTTTTCTTTTTTTCCCCCCAGGAAATAGGTAAGGCAACTTAGCTGCCTTTCCCAAGTTATACCAGTCTCATAAATTTTCTGCAGTTTGTCATGAAGCTGGCAAAGTGCACAGCTGGTATGAGGGCCACAGAGTCTGCTAGATATGCTCCTGTCAGGTCAACAGGCAAAGAACTCACTGTGAACCTGATCCTCATCAGCTGTGCTGATGATGCATGGACTTTACACAATGCTTCAGAACATCAAGGCTTTCCAGTTGCTGGTTTTGGTTGGTTGTTGCTTGGAGAATTGCCCATTGCTGTGACAAAACAGCAACAAACCTCTAAAGGCTCTTTGGTTTTTTAACAAGACTTTTGTGTATCAAAAATTTCAGATTTTGAATACAAAAAACCCAACCAACCAACCAAAAACCCCCAGAAACAACCAACCAACCAAAATAAAACAAACAAACAAAACAAAATTAAAAAAAAAAAAAAAAGAAGAAGAAGGTGGCTATGTGGTTTAAATAGGAACTTTGGAGACCAAGTTCTGTTTGTATTGCATGTGAAGGCCTAATATAAATAATAATTGATCTGAGATTTTTCATATTGCTGATTCACTGCCTTTTGGATTTATTTTTTTTTCCAGCAGATGAGAAGGTATTCATTATTACAGAATTACTATTTATCATTATGAGTGTGCTGGTTTAAAGGTAAACCAACAGGGGAAATGAACTCAACTCAAAAGAGAGATTATAAGTCAGAATAACAATTTAATAAAATAACACAATAAGTACAATTATACAGACAAACAATTGGTTTTAACCCACAAAACCCAAATATATAACCCAGCACCCTGGGGCATGAACAGAGTGGTGTTCTTTGGGCCCCCCTGAGTCCAAAGTAAAAGGAGAGGGGAAAAAACCTGTTGGTGAGAGTGCTGTTGCAGTCTGGTCAAGAGTGGTGGTTGCAGTCTGGTTGAAAAGTGGTGGTTGCAGTCCAGTTGAGAGTGGTGGTCTGCAGTCTGGCTGAGAGCGGTGATCTGCAGTCTGGTCAAGAGCAGTGATCTGCAGTCTCGTTGAGAGCGGTGGCCTGCAGTCCTCCTCTGGATCCCATGAGTGGTTGAAAGGTTCGAAACTCCAAGTTTATACATTCTCCATAAAAGGGTATGAGGATGCTCAGTCCTTCCCTCAGAGCGGGGAATTCCATAAAAGGGTATGAGGACAGGAACATCTTCCTATTTTGCAGGCCTCTACTGATAACAGTTTCTGGGAAATGGCATGGAAGGCTATAGAATACACAGTTTTGGGCTACACCCATCCAGTGATGAATCGGTCCCAGCTGTTCTAACTAGGACAATGAGATATCATTATGAGGAGAAAATGGGATGGAATTGTCTACTCCCTCTAACTTTGACCACTTCAGAGCATGTAATTCTGTAGCAAGTTCAATATTCATTAGGTACTCAACAGGTTTCTTTCATGGCCCTGTTTTTTAGGTTGTGCTGTTGATGGTCATCCAACCCCAAATATCACCTGGCTTTACTCTAGTGAACCTCTCCGTCTGCGACATCATCTCCTGGCAGCAGGCCGGATTCTTCAGATACTCAATGTCAGTGATTTCACTGATGGTGAATTCAGCTGCCTTGCTCAAAATGAGGCTGGCTCACTCACACAAAAAATGTCCCTGGCTATACAAGGTAACTTTACAGTTTCAGTCCTGTAACCCTGGAAAGGTCTTTCCATGGGCTTTTCTGCACTGCCTTTCTTATCCTGAACTTCTCTCTGAAGCCATTGCCATGTACATCAGGAAAAAGATGGTTTGGTGCTTTATTATTTATATATTTCTTATTTATAATAATAATTTATTATTTCAGGACTTCCAGGTACCTTACAGTGTCTTTTAAACTGGTTTTGTTTCATCAAAACAACACCAGATATTTCTGGCCTGCTGAGCATAAAACACACCTTACTGATTCAAGCTATACTTATGGTGAGTCTGGACAATTTTCTTGTCCAGAAGTTTCAAGACAGAGGTATCACAGTTTAAAGCCCTAAAACTTGAAGCCCCTCTGTTAATCTGCTAAAGTCAGTGTTTCACAGTCTCTTCTTGAAAACCCTTCACTTGTAAAAATGCTGAAACAGTTATTGTTATAGTTATCCTAGAAATAAGATGAAGGTGATAAAGCCACAGAACAAAGTGATGCAGGTGGATTAGAACAGAATATGCAGATTTTGCTGCTCCAAATTATTAGTGATGGGTAGTAAGAATTTAACATTTCTTTCAATTTTGCCATAAAATTTTGAGCATGTTGCAACTCCCCCATTTATCTTTGGGATAGGTGATCTGTATAATCTACCTAGTGGTAAACACACTGTTTTAAGATCATAGATTCATAGATACTGCTAGTAACTGCAGTTAACCACATCTTCACTAAATCACACACCTTTAAAAGTATAGGTGCAACATGCTGCATCACTGTCATCTGGCTTCACTTAACTGTTCCACCATGTTATGCACTTTCCATGCCTAATGCTTCTAAGCAGCAACACGTGGGTTTGTTACAGCAGAGGCAGTCAGTGGTTCACATCAGGTGCCTTGTAGGTGTCGGTAGCTTCCCTTCACTGAGTCCGTATATTTCATCCTGGGGAACGTCTTCAACTCTCTCTTTTCTGATTTGCTCCTGCCATCAGTTTTTGAGTGTTAACATGTCTCTCTCACACTTTTTGGCAGAATACCAGTGGTCAGTGGACAAACTGACAGCTTGTTCGGCTTCCTGTGGCCACAAAGGGGTGCAGCTGCCCCAGTTGAGGTGCTTGCTGGATGGGGCTGAAGTCAACACATCGTACTGCAGAGAGACACCCAAGCCACCTCTGCAGCCCATTGCATGCAACAGAAGAGACTGCCCTTCACGGTTCGTATGTCTCATATTAAAAATGTCACACATACATTTAAGAGGTGCTTGAGGAGTTCTTTTTAGAAGCACCAGCCTCTCTGGTGCCTGTTTGGAGTAGTCATTGCTAAAAGGGAATTTATGACTGCTTAACCAAGACAGTTGGGAGTCTGTAGCAAAATCTGTGGAAAACATTGACAGTACCTGGTAGAAACAGAGTTCATTCCTTCAGTAATTATGTTAGAAAATAAAGTAGAGGCTATTGCTTACTTTTTATTAGTAAAGTTCACAGGTTGAGTTGTCTTGGGTGATTCCAGGTTGAGCTGTCTTGGGTGATTCCAGCCTCACTCTATGTTGGATATAGTTATCATGCCTTTTCTGAGCACTATACATGTAGGAATTTGGTCACCCAAAACCTGTGGGATCATTTCTTTTCTGTGTTACACATAGCTTCATAGCAGTTTAGTTAGACAATGTAAAAGACAAGAAACTCAGTTTAGCAGTTACTTTGCGGTTTAATTCTGATTCCTGTGTTGCCTGAACATTGATATGGGCAGGACTTGCATAGAATTTCCTTAGCAGAGTGGAAATACCTTTTGTAAAATGGGAACATCCCATCAGATCTAATTGGCATGAGGGGTGCTCAGAGTGAGATCTGCTTCTTTTTGGAGTTTTCTAGCTTGTAGTTACCTTGGAATTGTAACGCTCTGCCCTTGGTTTTCATTCCTGTTAAACACAAAGGATCTAGAACAGCTTTAAAGACTTCTGGCTACACTTAGGTCTTCCTCTGCCACTCCTTAAATCCTGTGTTCAATTTTGGGCCCCTGACTCCAAGAAAGAAGAAGGACGGAGAAGCTAGTGAAGCATCTGGAGCACAAGTCCTGTGAGAAGCACCTGAGGGAGATGGGATTGTTTACCCTGGAGAAAAGGAGGCTCAGGGGAGACCTTATTGCTCTCTACAACTACCTGAAAGGAGGTTGTAGTGAGGTGGAGGTCGGTCTCTTCTTCCAAATAAGAAATGACAAAACAAGAGTAATAGACCTCAAGTTGCACCAGGAGAGATTTAGATTGGCTATCAGGGAAAATTTCATCATGAAAAGGGTTGCCAGGCATTCAAACAGTCTGCCCAGGGAAGTGGTTGAATCATCATCCTTGGAGGTATTTAAAAGTTGTGTAAATGTGGCGCTTAGGGGCATGGTTTAATGGTGGACTTGGCAGTGCTGGATTAATGGTTGGACTTGATGATATTAAGATTATTTCCAACCTAAATGATTCAATGATTTTACCCCACACAAAACTTTTCCTTGTTTGACAACCTTTGGTGCAAAGAAGAATACATCCTGAGTGCCTATCCAAAGAGTCAGTATAGTGTTATGGCCCCTGCCTATTAAAAATGTCATGCTTCTGCAATTCAGTATCTCCTTAGCTGAGATGTGTAAGCATTTTTTTTTCCATATTTTTCTGTGTTTTCACTCCCTCCTCTCCCTTATTTCCAGTGTGGATATGGTGTGTTTCAGTATACAAGCACTTACAAGAAGTCAGGATCTCAAGAGAAATGTACAACTTCCCTCATTCAGCAGTGATTAGAGACTTGTATTAAACAAAGGGAGTCTAAGCTTAGGCAAGGAGAGGTGCTAAGCAAGTCAAGGAGAAATGGACAGATTCACCACTCTTTCTGTGTCTTGGGTATATTGCACATTTCTGTTTAATTACCTTTTAAAATATATTCCTACCCTTCTCTGCAGGCAAATGTTTTCTGAGTTGCCAGCTGAGTCCTCAGAAAGAAACCAAAAGAGATTTTATGAAATATGAAACCCATTCATTAGCAGCAGTTTTTGATGGCAGTAAATTCCATGGGAATGGTTTATGTCTTTTTATACCTTCCCCAAATTGTAACACAACCCAAAATCCTCCCTCAACTCCTGAGAAACTGCTGAGATATAAGCTTGGAAATAAAAGTTGATTGACATGCAGAGCAGAGCTTTATGACCAGTGCAAAAATTGCAGGTTCAACCTCACCAAACTGCTTGAAAAAAGTACCAGTGTTTTTGTTGAGAGTATGTTTGTTTATACTTGTTTCTGTGACCATGGGAATTAATTACCTGCAAAGGACTGAGAAATAGAAACAGATGCCTCTCCATGGGACTGGAGAATGCCTATTCCCTATTTAGTAAAGTAATCATAAACACTTTTGGTGAGGGATGTGATAGGCAGTATTTTACTCCCAAAACCACACAAATCCTGCCTAGGATCCAGACACTTAATGAAGCAAACTTCTGACTTGACCATAAAACTGTTCAGGAAACTAGCAATCAGTTACATTCTTCCTAATTCCTAAGTCTTTCACAAACCTGACTGTATGAGTGTTTCGCTTAATGATCCTTAAAGTAACAAAATGTATTGGACTATTATTTTCTGTTGTTACAGCCTTTTAGCTAGTAAGACTAGATTTTTTAAATGCAAGGGTTCAGAACCTCAGCCTCAGCTGGCAAATGCATGGTCTGAGCTAAAGAGAAAAGGAGAACAGTGTCTTTTGTCCCCTGGGCCGACTATCCCTGAGCAATCTTTAGGCTTTTCTGGATTATCCTACCTGTCAGGGGTACAACAGAGCAGGCAAGCACTAGCAGGACCCAGCAGGCCTTTGGCTACTCTCTCAGCAGCAAGTTCAAAGCGGCCTGTGAGCTACTTCAGCAACTTTACAGAGATAGTTTTCCCTGTTAAGGGGTGCTATTGGGCTAGTCCTTGCTGGCATTGTGACTGTAGCCTTTGACTGAGGCGTCTGCAGTACAGTGGTGTAAGAACAGCCATGCCTGACCCCTGTGCCAAGCCTCTAGCAACAGCCTTAAGAGCTAGAAAATTAATTGGAGGCCCAAAGAGCCTTGAGAAAGATAAATTAATGAAAATTGTGCTTTCTTCTCAGCTCTCATCTTCTGAGAAGTTTTCAGTAACTACTATGGGAGGCTGAGACACTCAGCACCTTTGAGGATTGCCACCTAAATGAACCAAGCTATTGTTGCCTGTCTTTGGCCCAATACATAAAGACCTGCTGATGCCAGTGATCCTGCAGATGGTGGCACCTACCTGCTCCCTGACCTGTTTGCCTTTCTCTCACAGATGGATGGTGACATCATGGTCTCTTTGCACGCGGAGCTGTGGTGGAGGCATCCAAATGCGGCGAGTGACCTGTCAGCGCCTGACAGCAAAAGGCAGCTCTGTCCCAATGTCAAATGAGGCCTGTGCCCAGGTGTCCAAGCGCCCTGTGGACACACAGAACTGTAACAGGAAGCCCTGTGCTGAGTGGGTAGCCTCCTCCTGGAGCCAGGTAAGTGTGCTGGTTTAAAGGTAAACCAGCAGGAGAAATGAACTCAACTCAAAAGAGAGATTACAAGTCAGAGTTACAATTTAATAAAAAACAATACAATAATACAATTATACGGACAAACAATTGGTTTTAACCCGCAAAACCCAGACGTATAACCCAGCACTCTGGGGCATGAACAGAATAGTGTTCATTGGCCCCTGTGCTGAGCCCCACATGGTCCCCCTCAGTTCAAAGTAAAAGGGGAGGAAGACCTGTTGGTGAGAGTGCTGGTTGCAATCTGGTCGAGAGTGGTGGTTGCAGTCCGGTTGAGGTTCTGGTCCTCCTCTGGATCTGATGAGTGGTACCAGAAGCCCCAAGACTCCAAGATGATATACACTCAGGTTTGAGTGGGAATGCCCAGTACCTCTCCCAGGGCGGGGAGTTCCACAGTGGGTGACTGTGAGTCATGAGATATTTTTTGAATCCTTGGTGGCCCATTAGCAGACATGACCCCTCACGCTGGGTGTGGAGGTGCTAATGACTCCCTGGAGGGGAGTTAACATCACCCATAACTATAGCCTGAGGGGTCAGGTGTGGTCTGGGCAGCTGCTGCAAATGGTCTATTGTTAACAGTTCCTGGGAAATGACATAGAGGGTGTAGAATACACAGTTTGGGTTACACTCACACAGTGATGAACTGCTCCTGGCTGCTCTAACTAGGACAGTTAGGCAGCAGTCCAAGGACAGCTTCATGGTATGGACTAGGGCAAAGAGATAGAAAATAAGTGATGTTGCAACCTGGTGTCTTCAGGTTATAATTTGCAGACTTTTGAGGAGGCAACTAATTTGCTCAGCTCTTACAGCTCTGTATATGATGCACTACCTGCTTGGATTTCTGTAGCTTCTTATGATCCCTAGAAATGCTGCTTGTGTTCACAAGGACTTTTACTGCAAAGTCCCTATTGTCCCCAGTGGAAAGGTCTGCAGTTCCTTGTTATAGTGACAGGTAACATATCTGGGAAATAGCTTTCTCTAAGTCTTAAGTCCCCTTACCAGTCAGTGAGTGTGTTTCAGCTTTGGCTGGCAGGAGTCAGGACTGATGATTGTGAGGTTTGAGGCAGAAAGTGTCTTCAGTTACTAGAACATGTTCACTACTTGAAAACAACTTCATTTAACTCTTGAAATGTAATTGAGTTATTGTATTACATTTACAAGTAAAGCTTGAAATTAACATTTTATGTGAAAGAAGCAAATTTTCACTCCCTGTGGAATTCCAGGAAAGGACTGGATTATCCTTGCAAAAACACAACTACCTCTTCCATATTTGTAGAGCATTATGGGCTGTATTGTTCCCTATGACATCATACTCAGCTGAGACAATCAAGTAATTCAGAATTAATTTCTTAGACCTAACCTCTGTGCATTATCATATAGTATTTCTTCTACCTAGCCTTAAAAAAAAAAAAAAATCAAGTTCCACATGATTCAATACTGCTCAGTCTCCAAGCCAGAAGACTGTTACACAGTTAGGAACATATCACTGGCTCAGTGCCTTGCTTGGTAGTCTAGTGAGGTATCAGGTCTCTCTTGCCCAGATGTAGTGACCAACTTTCCTAGTTCACAAAGAAAATAAACAGACTACCTACTCTACCCTCACCTCTAGAATTAATTCCTTTCCTTCACTGAATGTTACTGACATTTTGGTCTCCACTATGTAATCCCATACTGTTTTTAAACTAGTGACTCAGGCTTGATGGTGATGAGGACTGCTGGCCCCTGCAGATATCGCAGAAGTGCTCCACACACTCCAATGAATGCTATTTCCAACAAGAGCATTGACTGGGACCAGCTGGAAACTCTTCCCAGTTGTCAGGGAGGGAAGAAATAGCAGGAAGAAGAGAGTATTTTTTGAGGAGTGCGTGGTAATGTGAAACAGGGCTCCTACTGATGAGGGGGTGAGGGTGGCAGAGGGATCAGTCAGCAGCCCTCCCCTGGCAAAAATTCCTGCCTTACACTAACATCCCACTCTTCAACCCTCAGTTTGTTCTTGAATATGATTTCCAGATACTTAGAAAAACAGTTTCCTAACAATTGATATAATTTTAAAAGGGCATAAATACATGCTTCATACCTATAGCTAATTACATTTTAATTGAAGGAGAGGATAAAAGTTGAACAGAAACATGTGATTGTTAAGCTTGAATAGGTTAGGATAGCCTCAGTATTGGAACAAGCTTGCTCATTTGCTGTGTGTCTGTCATGCTTGCTGCATTTGTTTATTGTCCTTCAATGCTTTAAAATTATTAAATGGAGTGGAATATGTTCTTGGTTCAATGCATTCTTAGGTTTTTGGCCATAAGTTGTGATAGTACAAGCTGCAAAATGCACAGTAGAAGTAGTATATTGAGATTTCCTGTATGGATCATAGGCTCTCGGCTAGTGACACAAGAGTATTTTATTTGCCCTAGCAGATGTATGTAAGATTGAACTATTGAACTATTGAAGAGAAGAACTATTGAATCTACAGAGCAGATGTAGAAATGCAGTTTTAGTGCTGCTAGAGGAGAGTGACGTAGAGCAGAAGATGACTGCACACTCAGCCTTCAAAGCCTGCAGAGGTGCAGAAAGTGCTTGAAATCTCAACAGTCATTGAATGGTAGTGTGTGGTTTATTTCACTAGCAGTCTTATAAAATGGGAATGTGGCCCTGCCTTTTACCTCCCTGAAGTGATTCTTCCCTGTTCACAGTGTAATGGGCCTTGCATTGGACCACGACTGGCTGTACAGCACAGACAGATATTTTGCCAGACCAAAGATGGGACTTCTGTGTCATCTGATCAATGCAGTGCCTTACCAAGGTAGGACATCTCTTATATATGAATCCACAACCTTTTCAGAGATATTGAATGGACTAGTTTGGCCCTTCATGGAGAGGACATTTCAGCCAAATCCTCAAATAGTTCAAATGGTCATTTAACCCAGTATTAGTATACCAGTGTGCATCCACTGAGGGTCTGGTCCTTGAGAGCAGTTAAAAACTGTTACGTCACTTGCATCCTTTGAAGACCTAATCCATGCAGTGCTCTGAGTGAATTACCTTTGGGATGTGCAATGCTTGCTGTTGTCCTGTCCTTCCGTCCCTCCTGCCACAGGCCGTTGAACACACAGAACTGCTGGACTGACGTCTGTGGTGTGCACTGGAGGGTCAGCCTGTGGACCGTCTGCACGGCTACGTGTGGAAACTACGGCTTCCAGTCCCGGCGTGTCGACTGTGTGCACATCCGCACCAACAAGCCTGTGATGGAGCATCACTGCTCCTGGAGGCCAAGGCCATCGAACTGGCAGCGCTGCAACATCACACCCTGTGAAAATGGTACTTTGCTGAGAGGAGGGGATGCAGAGCAGTGCAGGGGTAGGAAAAAAGGCAGCATTGTCTCTCAGAAATGCAGCACTGGACCTTGCAGCTGGGCATGCTGGGGAACCTCCAGCCTGAACATCTGCAAAATCCAGTGTCCAAAACTCAGCGTCCCAGAGAGGAATTCTGCCCATTGTGGGATTTTTTGGAAATGGTATTAGTGCTGGGATTGTGTCCCCTTGCTAATAGCGTGAGAAATAATTCATACAGTCTTCTGGAGCAAGCCCAGAGGAGGGCCACCAAGTTGGACAGATGGAGCGCTTCTCCTTTGAGGAAAGGCTGAGAAAACTGGGGTTGTTCAGCCTGGAAGAGAGAAGGCTTCGAGGTGTCCTAACCTCAGCCTTCCAGTACCTAAAGGGAACTTACAGGAAAGATGGGGCAAGACTATTTGCAAGAGCATGTAGTGACAGGACAAGAGGGAATGGGTTCAAATTGAAAGAGAGTAGGTTTAGATTAGATATTAGATATTAGGAAGAAACTTTACTGTAAAGGTGGTGAGGCACTGGTACAGGTTGCCCAGGGAAGTTATGAATGCCCCATACCTGGAAGTGTTCAAGGCTATGTTGGATGGGGCTCCGAACAACTTGGTCTAGTGGAAAGTGTCCCTGCCTACAGCAGGGGGGTTGGAACTAGATGGTCTTCAGAGTTCCCTTCCAACCCAAACAATTCTATGATTCTATGATTAACTTTCAGTTAATGGTACAGACAGAAAGAAAAATACGAATCACAACCAAACTTATGGCTATAGTCCAAATCCAGTAAGTAGACTGATGATGGGAAATCCAGGCCAGGCTGCTTTCAGGTGACAGGCAACAAATTGGACCTGTCAAAGGACTGGAAAAGTTACTAATATTAAAAAAAACCCAAACCAACTAAAGAGAACAGATGCATCTGTTTGGAAATGATGCTCCCATCCTCTAAATTGCAAGCCAGTTGCTGCGCAATCATTGCAGATGCAGCAGCAGAATCAGTGTGCTTACCTATGTCCACACCAGCTCTGACACTCCCTCTAAGTAGAGGCAAAGTGGACTACATAGGTTCAAACTCATGATGAGTGTGGGGGGTCCTAATGGAAGTTAAAGGGATGAGGGAGCTTACAGGTACCAAGCAAGACCTTTGCTGTCACTCCAGCCTCTTTCTGCTACATAGAAATGTCCCACATGTAAATAACAGTGGAGTTATTTGGCACAGACATCACTGGAGAAAGCCGTACAACTACCTTGTGATGTTTCCCTTTTCCATCCTTGGCATGGGAAGTGGGACTCCCTCAGGCAACAACCCACCCAACATCTTGCAGGGATATCGGACAGTTTTCCAGCCTGGAGCTAAAAAGCAGGAGGCTGTGGGCCTCAAAACCTGTTCAAGTGTTACCAGGACCTAAGCTCCAGGGGAGTTCAAAAAGTGTCTTAACATCTTCTTACTGGGCTGTGTTCTGCAACACATGGGTGAAAAACACAACACCAGGTAAAGAGAGGTGACACTCCCACACACTGGCTCTTCAAATGTAAGAGGTAGGCTAAAGTGTCTCTGAGCTACTCTATTAAAGTAAGTTTCCAGTTTTATTTACTACTTCATCTTTGGTTCATCAGTTGTTAGGAAACTCCTACAGCCTCTCTAAAATGCTGGTAGATGACAAACACAGGGTTGGAGCAGCCTCAGCAGCCCACTGCCCAAGCTCCAAAACCAAAGGTTGCCCAACACATTCTCCTTTGAGCCTTTGGCTACTTGCAGTTCACAGTCCGTCTTAGCAGCAAGTCAAGCTCATGTTCATAGTGAGACCTCCCAACACAAAGGTCCTCCTCTTGGCCACCCAGGTAAAAGTCCTCAGGTAAGAAATCCTTCTTTCCTTGTTTCATCACCATTTCTTCTTTTTGTTTCCCCTTTGGCAGTGGAGTGCAGAGACACTACAAGGTACTGTGAGAAAGTGAAGCAGCTCAAACTCTGCCAGCTCACCCAGTTTAAGTCACGTTGCTGTGGGACTTGTGGAAAATCTTGAAGACAGACAAAATGAAAATGGAGGAACAAGGGGATCACAGCTTTGCTTCACTGAGGCAAGGGCTTTTGCAGAAAATACAAATGGAATGGAAATATCTTTTTCATTTTATTTATTTCCCTTAAAAAAAAAAAAAGAACACCTTTTACCAAATCATTGTTGTAAAGGGTCTTGAAAAGTTTTCCCTTTTATGAATGTGGGAGACAGAATGCAGCAAAACATGGTCATGAAGGTAGACCATAAAGAGTCAGAGAGACCAGTGCCACCAGAAATGGGTGTGAGAGGAGTGGAGCTTCCCCATAATCCATGTACATGCCTGAGGGATACACCAAGAGACAGGCGAGGAAGAGGACGAGAGTGAAAACCTAGCATCACATTACAGAATCACAGAATCACAAAGGTTAGTTGAAACCTTCAGGATCACCTGGTCCAACCATCAACCCAGCACCACCATAATCATCCCTAAACCATATCCCCAAGTGCCACATCCAGACACCTCTTGAACACTTACAGAGATGGTGACTCCACGACCTCCCTGGGCAACTTAATCCAATGCCTAGCCACTCTTTCAGTGATTTTTTTTTTCTTTCTAATACCTAATCTGAACCTCCCCTGGCACAACTTGAGGGCATTTCCTCTCATATTTTCATTTGGAACATGACAGAAGACACCAAGTTCTACTGCACCAGAACCTTCTTTCAGAGCCTCCTCTTCTCCCAGCTGAACAACCCCAGCTCCCTCAGCTGCTCCTTATAGGATGTGTTTTCTAGACCTTTCACTGGTTTTGTAGCCCTTTTCTGGACACACTCCAGCACTTCAGTGTCTTTTCTGTAGTGAGGGGCCCAAAACTGAACACAGGATTCAAGGTGCAGCCTCACCAGCAGCAAGTACAGCAGTACAATCATTTCCCTGGTCCTGCTGGGCACACTATTCTTGATACAGGCCAAGATGTCAATGGCCTTCTTGGCCACTTGGGCATTGCTGACTCATGTTCATGCTGCTGACCAGCCCTCTCAAAGTCCCTTTCTGCTGAACATCTCTCAAGCCACTCTTCCCCAAGCCTGTAGCATTGTTACATGGGGTTGTGGCTCAAGGGCAGGACCCAGCACTTTGCTTTATTGAACCTCATGCAGTCGTCTTCAGCCCACCAATCAAGTCTGTCAAGACCCCTCTGCAGAATCTTCCTTCCCTCCAGCAGACCAACACTCACACCTAACTTGGTGTCATCTGCAAGCAGACTGAGGATGCACTCAATCCCCTCAGTTTGACAGGTCATAGTGTGCTGGAGAAAAAAAAAAGGCTAAAATAAACTGCATTATACGGATACTTCATCTGTGTTAGACTACCTTGAGAACACAAGCATATGATTCTGTTTTATAAACTTATTTGTTACATCCAAGATTGTAACCCTTCTTTTTAATTTCTAAACCACTCTCTCCTTCTCACATCAGGCCTGGAAATTATTTCAGTGGGACATCCTTGTGATCTTTCAGGATCTGGTGTCTGGGGAAGTTGAACAATGGTCTGTAATATAAGTGGATTTAAAGATGCCTGAAAATGTTTCCAGTTTGAGTTTGTGAGGAAGAATTGGGGATTGAAGGGTTGCCCTCAGCACAGAGGTGAGGTGATGATGTTAATTATTATCCAGGCAAAGGAGAGAAAGTATGATCTGCTTGACAGGCTGTAGTACAAACCTGCAAATACTGTTCCCTAATCAGCAAAGGCAGGAAAGATAGAAACTGTCTGTGGTAATGGGAGGTACTTTGCATACTGCATCCTACTAAGACTTATTTAGAAAAGAGAAGAGCACCAGTTCCCAGAGTTCAGATGTTTTTAGTCCTGGGGTTTTGGAAAGGAACTTGAAAAAGTGGGTTTTTCTAACCTGCTAACACAAAATTTCCCTCTCCTGACAGCCAAGCATTTTGGACATGTAGTAGAAAAGAGCTTGATTCTGATTTCTCATGGCTGTTCCCAGTCAGTAGAAACAGAATGGATTTAGCATCAGCCCCAGAGGAGTAATGCAAATAATTTTTAACAGCTGCCTCTCACAACAAAACAGGTGTTATAAAGCCACAGATATTTAAGTCCATGTATAACACCCTGAAGATACAATCTAAAAAGTGGGACTCAAGCATCACATCCACAGCATGATTTTGCATGCAGGCTGTGAATAGTGCTCCATGCTTTAAGTTCCTGTGCATTCTCTGCTCTTCTTAGAATAGGGCCCTAAAATTAGAGGAAATCTGCAAAATAGTGGGTTGAGAATTGTGGAGCTTTAAAGAACTACCTGGATATTGAGTTTAGGTTCAAGACCTCTAAATTAAAGAGAATGGTGGTGCCTCTCCTGTAACCCCTGATGGTGCTACTGTGTTGTAGTATGCTAATGAAATGCTGTTCAAGTTCTGCCATGCTGCAACTTCAATGACGTGGATTTTTCAGCAAAACTGGGAGTTCATTTTTGAGGTCAGTGCCAGGTTCATGACATTAAGCTGTCTCAAATTGGCTTATTTCAAAACACAGCTGGCAGTGAATGCTCTTAGTACAAATGAGTTTTCAAGAATGTTGCTAAGCATCAGTGTAACTTTGTATTTAAAAAAGAATAATTCTTTTCTATGTATATAAATGTGTATCTTTTCTGATATTTATTAGGATTTCTTGTATAAAAAGTGCAATAGTAATAATTGTACAGATAAAACTATATTGCCTTTTTTTTTTAAATCTCCCCATAATTTTGTTCCTCTAAAATCAACAGTAATAGTGTATTTCTCTTAGTTTTAATAGCACTTGCATTTAGTTGGGGATCTGCTTCACTGTGCACAGTGCTTTATAAACTATGACATGAGGAAGGGATGATGTTTTTAACTTGTGAAATGGTACTTATGCATGGAATGGAGGACAATTCCTTAATAACATAATAATAACAATGATGATGATGACAATGTGATGGAAATTTCTGGTACATTAGTTAACACAAAGCAAAGTATTTGGGAAAGTATTTTCTTTTGTTTAAAAGCAAAACATGTTAAGGCAATCACATTCCATAGTATCTGTGTAACTGTGCACAGGATAAACATGAAGGATCTGATCTGGAGTGGCCACTGTGTTGATTTAATTTCATGTCTGTCTTCTGAATTGTGACTTGGCAACATCTCAGTAAGATAAGGATTGCTGGATATTTTAGGAATCTCTAAAGAGAAAACTCTGGATCTCTTTCCCCCTGTGATGTGGGGCGACCCAGTTCTAGTTCCATTTCCATCTGACGAACCATTCCGACGTCTTGAAGGATAGGGAAAGGGAACTCCAGCATCAGGGGTTTCTTCAGGTCCTGAGCCTGGAGGGGAGAGGTGCCCTCCCCTCTCTCCACCCACGTGGCCCCATGGCAGGCACAGAGACAGCACACCGACGTGGAGAGGAGGCAAGAGAACATTTATTATTGGGGGTGTTACATTTATAGGCTTAGGAGGACTCACAGAGTAACCAATTACAGGTTGCAGGAAGGGGTTAACAACCAATAGGAAGGGGTTAAAAGGGGTCAAAGAGAACACCTCAGGATATCTTCTCAGGACATTCTTGCATGGGATAACACTTGTCGTGGGGGGTGTTGGGAAGAAGAAGCATGTGTTTGCAAAGAGACCACCAAAAGCCATTTTAAGACATGTTTAAACAACAGTTTTCCCATATAATGCAGATTTACTGCCACAGAAAACAGAACAGCAAAGTTCCCTACAGAAGACCTACTCCTGATCCCTGTTATGTGGCAACTAAACTAGTCCAGGCATCTGCATCTGCATGCATGATCTTAAAACAATAGAAGCCATAGGCAGAGATTTCCAAAGTAAACTTTAGCTGGAAATTTTCTTCCTGCTATCTGGCTGCAGTCATATGGACTGCAGTTGAAGCTTTTTGATTTTTAAGTTACTCTTCTTCTTGCAAACTACCTTATCAAATAAAAGGCTAAAGATCACCTTGATATCTGTTTGGTGCTCAAACACTGATTCATTAATAAATTTGGTTATTCTATATCAGCATAAGCTGACACCTCTGTTTGTAGAAGAAGATGAACCAAAAGCTTACTCTTTTCCAGATTTTCAAGACTGTAAAAACCCAAAAGTTTTTAATGGCAACTTCCAGCAAGTCACTGATCATTTTAGCTAGTAGTTGAGTGAATTGGCTTCATTTGTTCAGTTACGTAATTTTTAACGAATGCTTTAAAACTGTTTTTTGAATGTCAGATTTTCTCACAGCATACCAGTGTATACAGTTGAGAAGCTCAAAACTGCTAATGCTAACTATGGCTCTACATATTAGCTGCAGACCACATTTTGGGAATCATCAGTTTAACCATTCCCTTCATCCTCTTTTGTAAAGGAATATATATATTTATCAATAGTGTCATGTATTAACTCTCCACTTTTGTGGAAACTAAACCGAAGAACTTGTCAAATACTTGAGTTTGCACAAAACTGAGGGGGAGAGGAAAATCAGACCTCCTTTCTCTACTGATCTCATACATTTCTCACACCAAAAGCATATTGGTTAATCATAGTTTCACCTACATTGCTTTTCATTGTCTCCACCCAACATCTCCCCTCCAGTCAATCAAAATCAAATCTAAAATCTGGTCATATATAGTAATTTAAATAAATTTTTATGTAAAGTTTTCATTAAGGCATTTCAATAATATGCAACCCAACATGCTATTTATCCAGATTTATAAGCAGTAAAGCAACATATCAACACCTCCTCTTTTGATTGAAATACTTATTTATGTTCTCACCTGCTTTTTCACTTGTTCCTATTCTCAAGTTCACATGTGAAGACATGAATACAACAATACATTTTATTCTCCATCTGTCCCTCTGAGAAGCAAATACTGTACTCAAAGTCACCGTTCCTTCAGTGATGACTGATGAAGACCGAGACTGTAAAGTCCATGAAATCACAGACTCCAGCCCCTCTTTTTGGCCAGAATGATTACAAAACCTGGAACAGCCTCTACTGAGACATCCAGTGCACTTTCGGGGTGATTGAAGCAGCAGGGCTGAAAGTATGCAAGTGCCTTCGCATTAGAGAGATGTCATGGCAGGAAGAGTTTTTTCTATCTGGAAGAGTTTTGTCTATCTGGAAGAGTTTTTTCAAATAAAAATGAACTGACAAAACAGACCACAAAGTATCTTGTGAAATGTATTTCAAATCATTTAAAATCAACAACAGTGCTTCCTCAGTGATCTGAGTTTGTACACTAGCTTGTGAAGGAACCAGATTCAGGATGGGACCGGTTCCAAGCGTGGAGAAAGACATACAGCAATTGACAGGACTTTATTATATGGACTTTACCGTTATTATATGGTTTCAGATATGTGTATTGCATTGTATCCACACTACACAGTGCACAGCCTGAGCATGCCCAGGCTTGCCAGGAGTTCGCCTGCTGCCCGCTTCCCTGCTCCCCTCTCTGATAGGCTGAAGAAGCTGCAGAGAGGAGACAGTTACCATTCGCCCTTTCCTTCCCCGGTTCCTCTCATGTTCCTCCCCCTTTGCCTGTGTCCCTACCCCGATTTGTTCCCCCGTTTGTCTGTCTCATGCTCCACCCCATGTTCTAGCCCTTTCCCTGCCTGAACTCACAAAACCCCCTGAACATCTCAATAAAGCATTCCATTTTCACTTCTGTCTTGTCTCTGGACCTGTCTGTGCTGT